AATAATGAGCGGCGACGTGTAAGGGCTTATGGAGTTGACAATTTATCTCTTAAAATAATTTCCCATGCATTCGTATACTTATTTTTTTTTCCATCAAAAGCATACCGGATCGCTTCTTTTGTCTTGTCCATTGCTTTATAAATGTAACCTATTTCGGGTTTTTTTTTTTTTCCGTCCACCATTCTTAACACACGAACTAAAGACAAAAAAGGTTGAGAATTCTCAAGATATTATTCCAAAATCAAATTAAGAAAATGATTTTGGTAATTTTCACCCCACGACTTCTTTCTTCCATTGATTCTCTTTCCATTGTTTTGACCGAAACATGTCTCTCAATTTTTCATTCAATATTTGCATTCTTTCTTTCAAGTGTGAGAAATGTCGTAGGAAACCTTGTGACACCGGCTGGAACAAGTTTCTTCTCTTTTATGATGTCTAAACATATTCACCACACCCGGACGTACATAAACACGGGCATTCACACTCATTGCCTTCTTCAATATCAAAGACACATTGAAGACGGTTATGAGTGTGAGAATGTCTATGTTTATGCCCGTTCGAGTGTGGTGAATATGTTGAGACATTTCACGCGAGAGACTAAACTTGTTAAAGCTGGTGCACAAGGTTTGCTACGACATTTCTCACATTTGAACGAATGCAAATATTGAAGGAGAAATAGACAAACATATTCCGCTCAAAACAATGAGAAAAGAGTTAATGGAAAAAAGTAGAGGTGAGGTGAAAATTACCAAAATAATTTTTTCTATTCGATTTTGGAATGATATCTTGAGAATTCTAAAAATTTTGGGCCCTTTAGTTCGTGTGTTAAGAATGGTGGAAAGAAAAATAAATGCCTGCAAGAGTTACATATATGAAGCCATGGACAAGGCAAAGGAACCGATCTGGGATGCTTTTGATGTGGAAGAAGAAAAGTATAAGGATGCATGAGAAATCATTGATAAGAGATGAGATTGACAACTTCATAAGCTCTTACACGCTTCCGCATTATTTGAATTCACAATTTCTACCTTTACCTCGTCAGATATTTCAGATATTGGTGATGAATTCATTTTATGCGTGGAGAGATTGATCCTGGACTTTAACGAGCAAGAAAAGACCTCCGAAGTTGGAATTTATTTAAGGTTCGAAGGTAGTTTCAAGAGGAGATTGACGGTTAGAAAAAAGGTGTGCGATATGTCGGAGGAGTGGTGGCGCACCTATAGGACACAAACTCCGGAATTGACAATATTTGCCACCACAGTGCTAAGTCTCACGTATAATGCTTTGGGTGCGAGCACAATTGGAGTAATTTTGAGCATTTAAGTATGTCATAAAATATTTTTTTAGTATATTGTTCAAATGGATATAATGACTTGGTTTTTTTTCCATCTTACATTTTGTAGGTTAATAGCAAAAAAGGGAATAGGCTTTGAATTTGCACTTTATGGTTGAGCTTCATGCCATAACTCTGCAATGTCTTAAATGTTTCCCTCAGGTCATCGACATGTCTTTCGGCCTTCCTGCTATTCACGATCATATCGTCCACGTAGACTTCCATATTCTGACCACTTGGTCTTTTAACACCTTGTCCACCAGAGGATGGTAGGTCGCGCCAGCATTCTTAAGTCCGAAAGGCATTATCACGTAGCAATGCGTGCCTTTGGAAGTCAAGAAAGTTGCCCTCTTTTGGTCTTCCACCGCCAAGAGTATCTCGTGGTACCCCTGAGAGGCGTCCGCCATACTAAGCAGCTCGCAGCCTGCCATATAGTCCACATGTTGGTCTATTCGGGGTAACGGATAGTAACCCTTTGGGCAAACTTTGTTGAGGTCTCTGAAGTCAATGCACATCTGCCATTTGTCCTTGCCCTTTTTTACCATCACCGAATTTGACATGCCCTTTTTTACCATCACCGAATTTGACAGTCACTCCTTCCTGAGAGGTGTCTGCCATATTAAGCAGCCTGTCATATAGTCCACATGTTGGTCTATTCGGGGTAACGGATAGTGGCTTTGGGCAAGCTTTGTTGAGCTCTGAAGCCAATGCATATCCGCCATTTGCCCTTTTTTACCATCAGCGAATTTGACAGTCACTCCGAAAATTGAATTGGTCGTATGTGACCTGCCTTAAAGAGTTTGTCATTCTTTGCTTCGATTATCAAGTCGAGCTCCGCACCAAAGTGTCTTCTCTTCTGCTTTACAGTTTCACCGTCGGATCAATGTTCAGTCTGTGCTCGGCAACTTCATAATTTATACCTATGAAGTCATTCAGGTAAAGTCATCCGCTAAAAATGCGAAGATATCCGCAAAACTCCCTTAATAGAAAAATTAGTGCGACTTGAATATCCTCAGGGAGGTATCGACCTAGTTTAGTCACCTTACCGACCTCCCCTTCCACCAACTCAATTTTCATGAGCTCATCCTGCGACGAGATCTCAATTTTTTCATGTTTCTTTTTGTTAGAGTTTTCTGGTTGGTCTGCCTCTGGACTTTTCTTCTTTCATTGGGCTTATGAGATTTTCAACATCACACGACTAAAATCCCCCGTTTGACCTTCTGTGAACGCTCACCCACAAAACATCCTGCATCCCGAACTCAGCCCTCACCCCACGACCTGCTCCTGAGGCCGATCTACCTCCGATTTGTCTTTCTGTCGATCACCGAGGTTTTGGGTCGCCACGAGTTCTTGTTCTTCTTTGGTTTCTGCACTGTGTTGGATGAATTATTGCCGACTCCTCAACTTCCGGCGGTCTCTCTGATTCGTTAATCACCAAAGCCAACGTCGTGTGCAACGCTAGTAGTATGTCCCTTGAGTTATCTACAACCATGATCTTCGAACCGACAATCTTGTTTTGAGAAAAACCGATCAGCCTCTTGTAGGCAGTAAAAGATTGACAGACGGCATCAATTTGATGTGTCAATTTGTCACGGACCAGGTTGAACCGATCAATCATCAAATGTCCGCCTTTTTCGAGCCTTGATGACCTGCAAAGCGCCGGGAGGGAGTCCCGGCGCAGACTATCCGACACTCAAGTCTTCAAGAGAATATACTGAGATATATGAATTCAATGCGTATACGTCTGATAATAACACAGAACCTGGTTGTCCTTATATAAGGTCGATGCCTTGATGTCCCTGGGAAAGATATCCAATTAGATCCTCTTTCTTAGCTTACAACGCCTCTATATCAAGGCAAGTCTCCTTAACAAGCTATATTTTTCATCTAGGATTCTTTCCCCCATTGCCAAGGATCTAGGTCGAAACCACGACCTCCCTTCCTGCCATAAGACCTTGCCAAGATCGATACCTGACCTCACCGATTGGCGACCTCAAGACATCGAGGTCTCTCTTCGTGTACGAGCTCCTAGAGGTCGTTACCTCCAGATCATCTTATCAGGTTGTTCAGTACCTTGAGTTGCGTCTGCGAGCTCCTTGTCTGGGTTAGCTACTTTTCAACGATCTGGAGCTTATCTGGATCGGCCTACTTCGAGCTAACAAGTCAGGCCAGTCTGCCGAGCTATTCTGAGTGCTACATCAGTATTGACATCATTGACATTGAATTTCGAGTGAGTGACTATTATTTTAGTTTGTGCAGCCTCTGAGCAGGAATTTGTACCATCTTGGTTTCAAAGTTTTAACAAAGGGATGGTAGACGCTGTCTCCTTTACATAACATGAAGCTTTTGATCATCCTGTTGCTTGTAAGTCTATATTCATGTACTTGTACGCAATTATTTTGCACACTGGTGCTAGTTTTATTTTTCATTTCAAACTGCTTTGTAAAATTGAGCCGAGAGATCTTTACTGATTTCTTGTCTTTCTGCTTTCGATGTTGATAGGTCTTCTTGCTGTCTTGTCAAAAGGATAAAGCTCCCATTGACAAATTTGTTGATCTCTTCAACACAAACCAGTTACACTCTCTTCTTAAAGATGGTGCTATGGACTCAATGATTCCGAAGTATTTCTTACTGTTACATGATAATCAGGATGGCACATTGGAAAAGTAAACTGTGATCTTCTCCTTTAAAGATTTAAATTTAGATCATGCAGAATACTTACCTATATCTAGATATTATTAGAATATGGATCCACATGCTGGGTATTAAGAGCTTACGTCAACTTTTTTTTGTTCAACTGAGTGTCCTGACAGAAATGATGAGTGATGAGTACATTTGGTGCAACTGATTGCCGTTTGTTGTGTACTGATTCTTCTATTCATGGCATGGAAGAACATCAAGAAAATCCATGGGCATATTATGCAAGGATCTGTTTTTTTTTTTTTTTTTTTTTTTTTTTTTTTTGCCATTCTTATGTTCTTACATTCAAGACCTCATGTTTACTTATCGTTCTTTCAGAATAATAGCACCACAAAGCGATTATTTAGGATGCTACACCAAATATCGATGACAGAGGAGGTATTTTCTTCCATTTGAACAAATTTCCTTGTAAATACAGTTACAGTTCATTATATATCCTCTAAACATATAATTCCTCATATGGATCATAAGATACGTGTTTTCAATCAACAAATATATTGCGATACATTGCACAATGAAGTTAAACTTGTTTGGTTTTATATCAAATTTGTAATTGTTTTCACTTTTGTTCTGCTTCAGTCTAATATCTGTTAACCATTTTTCAGCTACAAGGAAGGATTTTAGAAACCAGATAAGAACTTATGGTGGAGAAAAGGAAAAGACGATGCACCAGAGAATCCAAATGGCTCAATGTAAGTTGGAGGATATAATTCTTTAGCTGTGGGAATTGGTTGCTACTCAAATGTGCAAAAGATTTTATACTCGGTCAGGTCAGTATTTTATTGGGAAGTTTCACTTGCTATAAAAGAAAGCAACAAACAGAGAAACCATCTTTTTTATTTCAAGATCTAAACAACAAAACTATTTCCCACGCAAACCAAATATTACAAAAACAAATCCCAAAAACACCAATTGAATATATGATTGCAAAACACACACACACACACACATATCAATAAACCCAATTTTACCGCCACGGCCTCAGGGACAGAACAACGATCAAAACGATGATCAACAACATCAAGATCCCGACACACGCCCACTTCCTGGAGCTCTTCTGGTGCTTCCTCGCCACCTCCAGCTGGCGGGCCCCGCCCCTCACGTACGAGCTCGCCCGGTTGACCTGCCTCTCAATATCATCCATCTGCTCCCCCTGCGCCTCCACCAGCACCGCCATGTCCAAAAACACCCCGTGCAGCTCCCTCAGGTTCCTCTCCAGCTCAGCCGCCGCCTCATGCCTCTCCCGAATCTCCGCCACCGCCGCCTCCACCTCACCCCTCCCCTGCCGCTGGACCGCCCTCGCCACCACCATCTCCCCCTCACCCGTCTCCACCAGCCGCTCCACTGTCTCCACGTCCGGCTCCTCGCCGTTCACCGCAAAGTACCTCCGCCGCACGGTCTCCCGGTACTCGGCCCCGATCTTCTCTCGGAGCTCGTTGAACCGTGACATGGAACTTTTGAGCTTCTGCCGGAGCCCGTCGACTACGGAGGTGCGGGTCCGGTCTGTGGAGCTTCCGGGGCCGCAGCCGGGGAGGAGGCGGCTGGCTGCGTTGGCCCGGTCGAGGGATTCGAGTCGGGATTTAATGAGCTTGGTTTTCCGGAGGGCGGTGGTGACGTCGGCGTCCATGGCTGACCGGAGGTCCCTGACGGCAGCGGAGGTGTGGAGGGTATTGGAGCGGTCGTGGGAGGAGACGAGGCGGCCGTGGATGGTCTCCAGGCTGCAGAGCTCGTCTTTCACAGCTTCAACCTCGTTGAAGAAGCTATCGAGGTTGCCGGAGTTGGTGGTGCCGGTCATCTCGATTGTGTGGGAGTCCGGCGGAGGGGATCGATCTTGGTCGCGGGGAAGTGAGAAGGAATCTGATAATAGATCATTCATTTTATTTTTTGTCAATGGTGATTTACAGGTGTTTTGTTGTAGCAAAGAGATGGATGGGGAGTTGAGATGGCTAAAAGGAGGGGGCTTCAAATGAGTAAAAAGGAAGAGAACTTGTCAACTTAGGGCTGATGATGTATTTCAAGGTTCGAAACTGCTTATTGTTATAATTAATTTATTTCTCAGCGTGAGAAAATGGCTATGGAGTGGAAGATTAAGAAAGTCGTGTGATGGTGATGGCGATGGCGGGAAGAAATATTGGGCATGAGGAAATATCAGGGGAAAGTGCTAAAGGGTAAACAACGACTTTGATTTGTTGTTGTTTTCTATTAATTTATTATTTATTGCAGAAAGTTCCATTCATCCATGTTTGGGTGATTAACTTCGTCAGCAGAAATGCGTTTCAGATGACTTTTCTCGAAATCAAGAAATAGAGTTTCACACAGTGCATGGCATTTGTGTTTAAAATTTGGAGTCCCGAGTAGGGCTGCAAACGAACCGAGCAACCTGCGAGCCGCTCGCGAGCGCTCGAGTCAAAGTTCGACTCGAGCTCGAGCCCATATTTTGCCTTGTCGAGCGGTTCGAACATGTTAAATTACTAAAATATCCCTTATATATATGTTAGTATAGGTTCTTAATGGTGATTTTATCTTTGTACTTAAAAATTTTCGAGCGAACTCGAGTCGAGCTCGAGCATTTTGATTTCGAGTCAAGCTCGAGCCGTTGTAATTTTTTATCTAGTCGAGCTTGAGCAACTAAAAAAAAAAGTCAATCCTGCTCGATAAGATCAATGCTCGACTCGGCTCGGCTCGTTTGCAGCCCTAGTCTCGAAGCTTTTTCGTTCAGGTTGACCAATTGTTTTCTTGGTAGTTGGTACACCGACGACGTTGACCTGAGAGTTCGTGATGATCATTGGAAGTTACTTGTATATGCCCAATCAAAGGTGAATGATTAACCAACGTAGGTTGACTCAAGTGGTAAGCAGCTTGATGTCGCTTAAGCAAGGTCTCGGGTTCGATTCCTTGTGGATGCAGAAAATCTTTGTTGGGAGACTCACCCACCACTGCCAGGTGTGCGACCCGAGTCGACCAACAGATTAGTCGGGGCATAGCTCCGGATACCGTGACTGGCTACCAAAAAAAAGGTGAATGATTAAAATATAATAAAAATAATTAGATTATATGTAAATTATATATCTCTAAATCTTAGTATTATAATATCTCTTCATAAATAATTACAGTATTAATATAATTACTTAATTTTTTCAAGAAAATAAACCAGATTTCTTGTTACTAGGTACAAGGGATCTGTCCGGATCGATCTCGGGTCTCGGGTCAAGCCACTGGGTTGGTCCGAGTCATAAAACCCTGATTTAGAGATGTTATTTAATTTTTTATTTTTATTTTTATTAAAACTATTTATTTAGTTATGTAATTCTTAATTTTTATTAAACTTATATTTGGATATGTTAAAACTATTTAAAAAGAAATGAAAAAAAAAAAATCTTGACCAATTCAAATGGTAGTTTCTAGCTTTAACCGGTTCGTTTGCTATTGGTCCAAATAGTAAAACTATGTTAATTATCATGATATATGGTCAATTATCAACGTCGACATTTTGAAAGACTACTACAACCTCAACCTTTGGCCCTTGTGGGACGACGGTGGAGCCCGATCTTGCCACCCTGTTTTTCATCTCCTTTTTTTTTTTTCTTTACAATGATCCCGTCGTTATTCGACTACATCTCCTTGCAGTCTTGTGAGTAGACTGATCCATGGGCGAATTTAGGTACAGTGATAGGGGGCAATTGCCCACCCCCTCCCCTCAAATTTTAATTTTTTTTACTATTAATATTACTAATTTTAATTTGCCCCCCTTTAAATTTATTTTTGCGCCCCCTGATTTTTTGTTTTTAAACGTCACTCACCAGATCAGTTTGTCCACAATTGTCAATTAACAATTCAACATTTCTTTTATTTAGTTAACTTTGTATATTAAATATTATCCTTTTACAATTTTAATTGGCCAATATAAAAGACTCGAACTCTATTTTTATTGCCTAGGCTAGGGCTGATATTTTTTTTACCGAAAACAGAAAACCGAACCGAACTCAACCGATGAGAAAATAAATTGAGCCGAACCGAACCGAACCGAATTGACGTATGTGTAACTGTAACCGAAAAAAAAATCTTGACCAATCCAACCTGTAGTTTCTAGCTTTAACCGGTTCGTTGGCGATTGGTCCAAATAGTAAAACTATGTTAATTATCATGATATATGGTCAATTATCAACGCGACATTTTGGAAAACTACTACAACCTCAACATTTGGCCCTTGTGGGACGACGGCGAAGCCCGATCTTGCCACCGTGTATTTCATCTCTTTTTTTTTTTACATCGATCCCGTCGTTATTCGACTACATCTCCTTGCAGTCCGGTGAATAGGCTCGCCGGCGACCCTCGACGGCCTTTGGACGGATGAGACGATTCATTTGGGAAGGGGGAGCCTTTGATTTGAAAATTGGATAATTTTAAGCACTTATGTGCAATTTTAGAAATTTTAATTTATTACATTTAGTTCATGAGTCATTTAGTGGCATACGAGTGCCACTTAGGCTCACGTATTCGAAAATTATGTAAAATAGAGATTATCCAAATACATTTTATTTCATCAAGTTGTCATTCATACCTAATATTTCTAAATTTATAAGAATTAAGAAGTTATAAATAAATAGAAAAAAATTCAAATAGTATCAAAATAAAAAAAAAAAAAATTAATAAAAATATAAAGTCAAATTTTAATTATCAGAAATTCTAGGCCAACAAAACCTAAATGATTAAACCAGGATTAGATAGGATATTCTGTCTAATCCTACAAACAAACAGGGGCAAAAATACTAAAAAGGCCGGAAATTCCAGGCATGGAATAAAGAAGGACCCAGAAGCTTCGATAGAATTCTCTTCCCCGACCCACGCTCTTCGCTATTCTTTTAAGGAAAAGAATTCATCCTAAAGTCGGTCTTCCATCTCTATATAAACCAAACCATCCTCAAGCTTTAATTCAAAATTTCCTGCAAATAATACTATACTATTCTAACTATACTATTCTTAGCATTCGCGTTTCTTCTTGCGCCGCCGTAAAGGTATGATCTCTTTTACTCCACCTTCGATTTCAAATTAATGAATCCTTCTGTGTTGGATTATGTTGGTGTATACGATTCGGTCAAGTTTAGGTAGTTTGATGTTGTTTCTCGATTCAGATCTAGGTTATTAATGAATCCTTCTGTGTTGGATTATGTTGGTGTAGACGATTTGGTCAAGTTTGTGCAGTTTGAAGCTGTTTCTCATTTCAGATCTAGGTTTTGTGTTATCGGTTTTAGCGGCGATGAAAACATAGCACAGTAAAATGAATGCGGTTTATTTGATTATTGAGATTTGTGGTTGATTTGTGGATTTATGAATCAATTTGCTTTCAATTTGCTCATTTGTAAATCAATGGCTAGTTGATGGTCACAAGTTTGTTCTTTTGGAGGATCGTCAGCGGGTGATTGTGGTTTAACAAAGAAAGAAGAAATCATGGGTTTAAATATCTGCAGACTAGATGTATATTTATATTTGTTCTAAGACCTTCTGTAAACTAGAGTTTGTTATTGTTTTTTTATTCACTGATGATACCTTTGAGAAAAATAGGATGCCAGAGCATCTGTAACTTATCCACGTTGTTATAATTATGTTATGAGAGATCCATTTTTGGGTTTGGTTTGCTAATCCCATTTCCTTTCTGAACTCCAGATGCAGATCTTTGTGAAAACTCTCACTGGCAAGACCATAACCCTTGAGGTCGAAAGCTCGGACACTATAGATAACGTCAAGGCTAAGATCCAAGACAAAGAAGGTATTCCTCCCGACCAGCAGCGTCTCATCTTTGCCGGAAAACAGCTGGAAGATGGAAGAACTCTTGCCGACTACAATATTCAAAAAGAGTCGACCCTACATCTTGTTCTCCGTCTACGTGGTGGCATGCAGATCTTTGTCAAAACCCTAACTGGAAAAACCATAACCCTTGAAGTCGAGAGCTCGGACACAATCGATAATGTCAAGGCCAAGATTCAAGACAAGGAAGGCATACCGCCCGACCAGCAAAGGTTGATCTTTGCTGGGAAACAGCTTGAAGATGGGAGGACTCTAGCTGATTATAATATTCAGAAGGAGTCGACGCTTCACCTCGTGCTTAGGCTGCGTGGGGGTGGTTGCTAGTGGTTGGGGATGAAAAGCTTTGCTGTCTTTGATTGAATTTGGTTTATTATGTTGCCTGCTGTTTGGTTGATGAGGACTAGAAATATTTAAATAAAATCGAAGATTGTGATGAACCTCTTGATAAGTTGATCGTCTTTTGTCCATTCTGCTTGAGAATCTTTTTTTTTTTTTTAATTCCCTGGTTGCTTGCTTTAATGTTGCTTCATAGTTCGAATACTTGCATATTCAAGAATACTTACATATTCAACAAAGGGTCGTCCTTCCACCTTGAAACGGGTTCTACATAGAATTTACTTTTTAGACTTCGAAACTGTTGGCACTATATAAAATTGAAAATAAGAGAACACAAATGGGATTCAATCATAAGTGCCTCTACAGAGAAATTGAAATTTATTATTCACTCGGCGGACTTGACGAATCCAATCCAATATTATCTCTATTGCGCTGATATATCCATTGCGACCAGCGATTGGTATTGATTATTGATGACGCGGTTCAACTCGAATTCATGATCACCACTCGAATTCATGATCACCACATTTTGGAGGGGTTGTCATGTCATATAAGTAAATGAATGGAGAAGACCTGAGGGATATTGTTCCGGGGAGAGATTCATGCAACCAACAAATATACATACACATATACTTATTGATATTCTTAAGTCATCTCCATATATTATTGATTCATTTCATTTTATAAAATTTGATGATTTTTCAGTTACATTATATGATAAAGTAATTTATTAGGTCATCTCTATTTTTTTAACTGCAATGCATGCGATTCTTGGACTACATTTATTCATGAACTTTTATAAAATAAAGTTTATTTGACAACAATAGAGTTAGCATACATAGAGAATGACATAGGATACCTTATCAGGTCGTGTGTGACCTGAAGAGCAATTTGGCCGTATTAGATGAACCGGTAGGTTGGTCAGACAACAAGGACGTCAAAGGTCGTAGAAGCACCAGGTCGATGGTGACCCTACGAGTAAGATCAGGGCCGTCTCCAGAAATTTGGAGGCCCCAGACAAATTTTTAAAAGTGACCCGTAATCGTATTTGTATATTTTAAAATTTTTAATTGAACAAATAATATTAAACATTGTCAATAATAAATACGAAAATACAATGAATATGAGAAACAAAAGTAAACTAAAATAACAAAAGCTTACAACTTGTGCTTTTTTGTGCAAAAATTTTTGATCAAAACTATTTTGTTTTCCGCATTCGTCAAAGATCGTTTGTAGCGTTTAGTATTGAAACTTCTACATTTATAGTTAATAGGATATACGACAATAGTAACTCTGATCACCATTTCTCGACTAAAAAAAAAACTTTAGGGCACATTATCCTTGCAATATCCAGAATCCAACAAGTCATCCGAATTTTCACAATTAATAGATTATCATTCATATTCTCAATATCATTTACATTCTCTAACTTATGATTTTCTTCTTAAAAAACTTCAACCCCTCTATCATTACCATCTAAATGAATTTGATGTGTTAAATCTTGTTCAATTTCAACTAGGAGTGCATCAGCTACTTCCTACACAATTTCAATAGGATCAAACACATCAACTTCTACTACATAAATATTAGGTTTTACGTATATATCCTTACATCAGGCGAGAGACTTTGTTAATATCTCACATTTTCGAGCATCTCGAATTGAATTTGCATTTGCCCGTCGTAACTCATGTAAGAAATCTTATCTTAAAATAATCTAATAAGTTTAATCCTTATGATAGTTGACAAAAGTTATAAATTAAAGGAACAATAAGTATTTAAAATGTAATTAGTATAAAAAATTTTGAATCAAAAGCTTAAAATTTCTATATGTAATATGCTAAGTTCAAAATAATACGCTCCATGTAAGTGATTTGAATCAAGAATTAATATGCTCCTTAATATTTTCTATTTTCATGTTGGATGAACCTTGAAGGTGAGAAGAGGAACCACAATTATATTGTAATCTCTTTAACTTAATTAGTTTTAATAATTTGTAAATGGGTCAATCTCAAACAAATACATACAATTAAAAAAAAAAAATGTGAGGCCTTTCAAAATTGGAGGCCCTAGGCAACTGCCTATTTTGCTTGCCCCAAGAGCCGCCTGTGAGTAAGATAACCCGCCAATTGGTCGAGCTAAGGCTCTTGGCTAGCATGATGGAAACTCTACGTGGAGGGTTGCAGCTCGATGTATGACCTACAAAATAAGCTCATCCACTGAAGGTCAGAGAAATATATTTCAAGGGAAATTGAGCTAGTAACACAACAGAGTTACCTAATGAGGTAGACTAATGTGAACACACCACATAATAGAAAAATATGAATATAATTAAGATAAGGACACATGGATCAGACCACATGGACTAACATAATTGGGCAATTTAGGCACTCGGGCACTGCGAACGGGTAGCTTGGGGCACTCAGGCAACCCAGTCGGACAATCTTAGGCAACAAGATAACACTTCTATATAAAGAGGTCAGATATGATCATTTACACTCTACAACTTGTATATTGTGTTTTTGCATTTTTTTATGTGTTCTATGTGCGTAGTTGAGTCAGTTCTAGGTTTGTTTTCTTGTCTAACCGATGCATTTTAGTCGTTTCGTGCATTTAATATATTTTCCTTTTTGTTTTACGTTTAGCGTACTTTTCCGTGTCTTTTGGTGTATTTTTCAGGTTAATTTAGAGGACAGAAGAAAAGAATCGAACCAATTTTTGAGAAGTCACGAGCCATTTCGTACCGAGTTATTCTCGAAGAGTACCGAGTTGATGTCGAGTCTTTCCGAGCCATTTTAGTTTTATTTTTATTAAAACTATTTATTTAGTTATGTAATTCTTTGTTTTTTATTAATTAAAGGTATATTTGGATATGTTAAAACTATTTAAAAAGAAATGAAAAAAAAATCTAGACCAATCCAAACTGTCATATTTCTAGCTCTAACCGGTTCGTTGGCGATTGGTCCAATTAGTAAAACTATGTTAATTATCATGATATATGGTCAATTTTCAACGTCTGACATTTAAAAGACTACTACAACCTCAATCTTTGGCCCTTGTCGGACGGCGGAGCTCAATTTTGCCACCGTGTTTTTCATCCCTTTTTTTTTTACACCGACCCTGTCGTTATTCGACTACCTCTCCTTGCAGTCCGGTGACTAGACTCATCGGCGACCCTCGGCGGCCTTTGGACGGATGAGATGGTTAATTTGGCAAGGGGGAGCCTTTGATTCGAAAATTGGATAATTTTAGGGACTTCTGTGCAATTTTAGAGATTTTAATTTATTACAATTTAATTCATGAGTCAATTTATAATTTATCAACATTTTAATTATTGCACAATAATGTTTAGTGCAATGCACAATATAACGTTTAAATATGAACATAAAAAATTATCGCTCTACACACTACACAATAGTATTGTGTTAGACAAACTGAACATTAGTGTCTTCCAGATTGAACATTCGGATAAGAGCGCATTATGCACAATGACTAAAATACCCCTGTGTGAAAATTCAAAAGTCCACATATTTACAAGAATGTTGTCTTGTGTTTGACTAAAGTTGGAGCCTTTAAGTGGGCTTGGAGCGTTGATACATCATACTCAATGATTATGATTCATTCTTTTCTTTAAATACGACATTTTCTAATATGATCTCTGTAACACCCCGCCTTTCCATAAAAATCAGAGCGCGCTTTTCGCAATTACATTCAAAAATAAAACATTTTACATTGCGAAGTACTGATTCGCAGTGCTACTAAAATACATAACTGACTGAAAAATCTGTACTTTTGGTTTGAAAAACCAACTACTAGTTCGCCGACTGATTCATTTGACTAAGAATGACGAACAGTAAAACATCAGCGGAAACTGTAGTGGTGAAATTGGATAGCAGTACCGTGATCGTGAAAACAAGTTATCTGAAAATAATAACGACACTGCTATGCCAAATTCAAACTGTACAAAACATAATTTAAGCTTTATAAGCATAAAGCTTAGGCAATTTAAGCTTTATAAGCATAATCCCGAACTGCTCCGTCATCTCACTCCTCCGTCCCGACTTCATGATCTGAAAAACATGATAATAGTGGGAGCGTGAGTACTAAAAACACTGTACTCCGCAGAAACTCATACTAAAGTAAACATTAATAATAATATCAATATCATGACTGCAGGTATATATAAGTAAACTGTAATCTCCAGACACAAGGTCTGTAACTGAACTGAACCTCCTCGGTCGCTATGTCCGCCATGTGCACACTCTGATGGGTTAAGGTCTCACGCCCCCACCAGAACTCTGGATGGCCTATTAAGGCTACTGCGCCTCCACCCAAAGTGGATAACTCATATACATACCTTAAGCATGGTAGAGTAATTATAGTCAATGTAATACCCAGTCTGAGTTCCCACCTGAACTGTGTTGGGTTCGATATACCCGTACGGAACAAATAATGCAGCGGAATTTAAAAATTT